AAGAATGGTCCAAGACACATAAAATGTATTATTCTACATCCTTTTCGGGGTCCAGGTAGGGGTTGAGGGTGCAGGGTTAAGTAATTTAGCGGGGCCTGGGGCGACCTGAGGCGAAAGGAGCTAAAGATAAAACCTAAAAACTCTAAACCCGGAACCCTAAACCCTAAACTCTAAACCCTAAACCCTCAACCCTAAACTCTAAACCTAAAACCTAAAAACTCTAAACCTAAAAGGCTACGAGGAGAGTCCTGGAACACTGAAGTTACCGACGAGCGGCCTCCCGACCCGAAGCTTTGGAGCCAGCCCACTAGGGTTTAGGGTTTAGGGTTTAGGGTTTAGGGTTTAGGGTTTAGGGTTTAGGGCCCCCCCATGTTCTGGAAGAAACACCCTAGACCTCCAGGTTTCGGGTTGAGGGTTTAGGATTTAGGGCTCTCAGTTTAGGGCTGTTTAGGGTTTAGGGTTTAGGGTTTCGGGTTTCGGGTTTAGGATTTAGAGCTCTAAGTTTGGGGCTTTTTAGGGTTTAGGGTTTAGGGTTCAGGCTTAGGGTATAACCACATAATTCCAATTCACAGCCCAGTAACCCATTATTTAGATACCTGAAGCCCCAGGGACATGCAATGACTCAAACTCGCTCCCGTGAAACCCCGCGAAGATTGGAAGGCAGCGGCTCACTTCGGCCTCACCCACCGCATCCCCTCAGTATCCCTTTGAACACCTCGTGTTTCCTGATCCCCTGGCAAAACCCCAAACCCTATAAACCCTACAAGCTCCAAGCCCCTCAGTCCTCCCAGCAAACCCTAAACCTCGGACGTGAACTGAGCACCCCAGCGAGTCACCTGCTGTCTGCACGGCCAGGTTCTGGCGGGTATCCGTCAGCTGAGCTGGGCCAAGGGGGCGCAAAACGCCACACCTGGGAAAAGCGAAGACATCACAGCTGTGAGATTCAGAATGTTGGCTTTGATGCCAGCATTCAGAGTGGTCTTGGACTGATATCTCTTGAGCGAGCTTGAACCTGCATGCGCTGATGTGCAAAACTACGAAAACAAGAAGAATCTAAGAATGAGGCTCATACAGTGGAAGTCGCCCGTTCATTCTGCACTACACGGGGCAGATGATTGGTGCTGACGTGGCTCGGTGGTGCGTCCAGCCCCACGACGGAAAGCTTCCGTTGGACTCCCAGTCATCTCGTGAATAGTAGGTCATCTCCTGTTGAGTTGAGTCTTCCTGGGCCCTCCATCTATCCTCTACCATGCCCTAAATACCCATCGTGGGGTTGGGCAGCAGCTGCAACATCGGGGAACGCCGATAATAGACGCTTCGAGACATGTGAGCCTGGATAGCCTCATCGTAGCTTGAACAGCTGACAGCAGCTGCAAAAACCACAGCAGATACTGTCTAACTTGACCAGTTAACTCCATACTTCTCCCCAAACCTTGCAACACAATGGGTTACAACCAATATTCGATCCCTACACCCTAAACCCCAAGCCCCAAAATTCCCGACACAGGAAACCCTAAACCCTACATAACCCTACTATTCCTTCCCCACTCTGAGAGACTCGGAAAGACTTCTTCGGCTCCTCCTTTCGCCACTCATGCACGGCAGAGAGCTCCCTGGGCGGACTCGCAGACGGTGGCAGCGCATAGAAGGCCTTAGGCTCCCCTACCCTCCATGCCAAGAGCATACTCGAACCCCACGGAACCTACCCGTAAACAAACAGAGCACTACACCAAAGCGTTCCGCAGGGCTCAGGTGTCGCTGAGGAGTTGAGGCCTAAGGTGCAGCTTTGAAAGGGGCCACGGATTTAAACCTTGCATATCCCTAAAGCTCTCGTTTCCTGAATTGTAGGTTACTGGAGTACATGATATATGGTTAGTGACCTACTCTAAAACCTAAACCCGAAACCCTAAACACTAAAAAAGACCCTAAACCATTTAGGTAACTGGAGCTCTAGCATAGGATGATTTGGGGCTACAGAGCCGTCCCAGAACGCTGTGATCACTGGCTCCATGGTCGGCTCCTATTCTGTCCCGCGATCTGGGCCAGAAGATCCCTAAACCCTGATCCCGAAACCTGTCATTATACTACACCCTCCTAAACCCTAAACCCTAAACCCTAAACCCTAAAACCTAACAGAACCCGGAATCCAAAAACAAGACCCACAGATACTGTACAGTAGAAGCCAAAAAGTTGGAACATCAAACCCATGTTCCAACTATCTGGGGGATCACTATACACCCTAAAACCCTAAACCCCAAAGCCCAAACCCTAAACCCTAAACCCTAAACCCTAAGCCCCAAAACCCCTAAAAAGACCTACGGATACTGTAGGAGCTAAGGTTCCACAGACTCGAAGGCGAAGCCGCAAGCGAGTGCTGCAGACTCGTAGCTGCCGGTGCCATAGAGGGCGGCCTCCCCCTTGCCTATCAAAGACGGGGTGCGTTGGAAGCTTTGGGGTTTAGGGTTTAGGGTTTAGGGTTTAGGGTTTAGGGTTGAATCAAAAACCCAGGGTGCGAAAAACTGAAAACCGTATTGTCGAAGCTTTAGCAAGCAGGGTTGTAGTGTAGGGTACGAGGTTTCGGAGCGCCCGAGATGTGTGAACATGCTGTGTGACTTCCATTGAGGCAACTGCGGACGACTACTGCAGCTGAATCGTCAAAACGATCCCCTTGCATAGGACGTACACAGGACTTTAAACTCTAAACCCTGAACGGCCTATCGTGGCCGAGGCACGCCAGCAGTTCACCGGCACGGCATCGGCTGGAGCGGTCTCTTCCTGGCGACGTGCAGGCATGAGATAATGTTGTTGTTATTGTGTCATATTATAACCTATGTAGAATATAGTATGGTATGTTATAACCCGTTATTGCAGCTCTGCTTGCTTATGGATAAATATCAGATAGTGTTGTATTATATAAGTATTCTGCACAGTGTTGCTTCCTTGAGCGGCTCTAGGAAACGACCAGCGGTAGAAATCTGGAGGCAAGCTGCCCGCCAGCAGTAGCATGCGATCCGCTCGAAGCTCCAACCCCAGCCGGGCATCTGCGGAAATCGCGCATCCTGAGGCCCAGGGTTTATAGGGTCCAGGGATTTCTTAAGGAGTTACGGGATTTAGGGTTTAGGGCTTGTAAGGATCAAGCGATTTAAGGGTTTAGGGTTTGCAAAGGTCAAGGGATTCAGGGGTTTGGGGTTTGTAAGGATCAAGCGATTTAAGGGTTTTGGGTTTACAAAGGTTAAGGGATTTAGGGGTTTAGGGTTGATAAGGGTTACGGAATTTAAGGGAAGGTTAAGGGATTTAGGGCTGAGTTTGTACATCGGGATTTCGCATCCGCTGCTCGTCTCGGGGGGGTGATTTCCGTGTGTAGGTGTCCAACTAAGCTACCTAGCCGCCAGGCCAACCCAAAACTCCAAAAACAAAACTCCAAGAAGCAAAGCCTAAACTAAAAACCTGCATGAACCCCATAAACCCTAGCTTAGGGTTTAGGGTTTAGGGTTTGGGCTTTAGGGTTTATAGCTTTGGGATTTAGGGGTTTAGGGTTTAGGGTTAGGGTATAGAAACCCCCTAAACCCTAAACCCTAAACCCTAAACCCTAAACTCTAAACTTAAACCCTATATAAACCTTACAGACCCTGGCCCCTGATCGAAGGCGTCCCAGGGTCTGAGAGCAAGACCAGGTACGTCATCTCCCCCTTACGGAAGAGCGCCAGGGGCCTAGCAAAACTCGGCGGAGGGGCTCGGGGTTTAGGGTTAGGGGGACCTTCCAAGGATTTAGGGTTTAGGATTTAGGGGATTAGGGGTGTCGGGTTTAGGGGTTGAGGGGTTTAGAGGTTGAGGTGTCTAGGGGTTTGGGTTTAGACCTTCTGGTAATCATTTAGAATGAGAAAAGGCGCGACACTACCCTCAGGCCATTAAGCCCTAAACGCTACACCCTACACCCTAGACCCTAAAAGCCCTACAGGCACCTAAGCATACAGCTCAGAGATTCCAGGGTTGTGGAGCTCACTGGACCAGCTGCGGCTCAGCAACTCTGCGTCTGTACCAGCAGTCCTCACTCAGGAACGAGAGAAGGGGTTTAGGGTTTAGGGTCTTAGGGTCTTAGGGTCTTAGGATTTAGCCTTTTTTTTGTGTTTAGGGTAGGCTATAGAAGGCTGTAGGCTTTAGGCTTTGAGTGTTTTCAGCTCAACAGGCTTGAGGGTTTGGAGTTAGGGGTGCATAGCGACGTTGAGGGCACTGAAAGCCGTTGATGTCCTACACAGCCTACAGGTTGCTTTGCCGAGTCTGTAAACCGGCCATGCTTCGATTGGGGTGCATGCAGTCCTGACCGACGAAGTCTAAGGGTTTAGGGTTTAGGCTTCAGAGCTTGCCTGACCTAAACTTACATGGAGGCATTGCTGGCCTTCTATCCATACAACGACAGCATAATCGCCGAGTCTGTTGGTGACATGTGAACCAAATTTACCCTCACTCCTAAACCCTATACCCTAAACCCTCGGTGCCTTGTGAACCCAATACCCCAAATCCTAAACCCAATCCCCTAAACCCTCTAACTAAAGCCTCTAAACCCTCTAAAACCTCAACCTGGGAATCCCAAACCCTATACCCTCAACCCTAAGCCTTCTAATCAAACCCAAAAAACCCTAAACCGGGAGGCAGAGGCCCACTGGAACGCTTCTTTCCGAGGCACGGAGACTGAATCCCGCAGCCCTCCAGCACAGACCGGACCAGATCCTGAGCTCACTGGCCTTCTAAAGCTCAAGAAAAAGGAAACTACAGGTGGGGAGTTTAGGGTATGTAGGGCTTCTACAAGGCTTCTAGAAGGGATACTTAAAACTCAGGAGGGTCTTCAAAGAGGCTGCTAGGGTTCAGGGTTTAGGGTTACAGGGTTTAGGGCTATAGTGCAAGACTGAAGGGGATCCATGCAACGAAGGGTCGTTGAAAAAAACTAACGGGGGTTGGGAGTGGAGTTTGTGCTGTAGCTACGGCTGAGAAGGGCTCCAGCTGCGCAAGCAGGAGGCTATGCCAACCCGAAAAGCAAAATAGGTTTAGGGGTTTAGGGGTTTA